ACTACAGCATGTTGTATTGATTATTGTTCTTGGAGTATTCCTTTAATACAAGTCAATTATTTGTATGCCCTCTAATGTTGTTGAGGACAGTCTATCCTCTTTCAAAGCCATATATCCAGCAGAATAATGCAGCATGCAAACACACTCTTCAATTAAGTCTTCAATTAACTCAAGAGCTCTGCATATCCCTCATATTGCAACCACAAGCAACATTTTTAGGAGGGGATGCAGATGGAAGTGCAGCATGAACATTCAAAACAATCTACAGGAAAAAAAAATAGAACTGATTGTCTGGGACTTAACATTTATGTTCCACAATTTCTCTTTTGCTGTGCACTACCAGTACGGTCCTTATAGTAATGTATTCATTATTTTATAAATCTGTTGATTTCAAGACAAAGTGGTGCTTTTGTACCAGCTGTCAACCAGACAGCGTGAAGGATTCCTCTCCTCATTCAATATGTGAGCTCACTCAAGGCATAAAGGGGACTTTTTATGAGAACCATTGGATTGGCCAGATCATCACCAGTTGTGGAGAGGACATACAAAGAGGAGACCCACTTGCCACTGATAGGGTCCCAAAGGCGGAGCATTGCTATGGAGAGGAGACCAATTTGTCACCGGATTACAGGTACCATCTTTTCTAGAGCTTTGTCGGTAAACTGAAGGTAAAAAGGAACACTCCATTAGAAAAACGTGTTTCAGTCGAACATCAGATTGTACCTTTTACAAAGTCGATATTTTTGTCTACATCTAGGGCTTTTTTACCCCCAAATAATTTGCAATAGAGAAGTTTAGAAAGGATTTTGTTTTAATTTTTTGTACGCTCCAGGTCTGAGAGCTCATAAGTTCGACCTTTCCAGGTTAAGCACTCAGATACTGGCTGTACATCAGGGCCGGACTGGGAGAAAAATTCGGCCCGGGCATTTTTTTAACACAGCGGCCCACTAAAAAGGGGGCGGGGCAGAGGAGGTGTGTTTTGTCATCACCAATGACAAACACGCCTCCTCTCAAAGTGAGCATGTTGGTTCAATGCTCTTCCAGGGCAGACTATGCGCAGAGCTCTGCTGAAGAGCTCTAGCATGAGAAAAAAGTCCTGTATTTGTTCTGCACAGTGCAAGCAAATTTAATAACATGCTTGCACTGTGTTTTCTTGCAACTTGTTTCTGGTGTCTCTATAAATGGATACCAGGAGACAAAAGGGCCAGGAAAGAGTATTGTGCATGTGTTTGGAGCCTGCTTGTGGTATTGCGTGTGTGCAGAGTGAGCTGGTCGTGGTGTGGTATTGTGTAATAATGTCGGTTTTAGTCGTGTTGTGTTTGTGGTGTAATGTGATGCATATGTGGCTCAGGGACCCCCTCCCGCCCAGCTCTGGAAAGGGGTTAAAACTTACCTTTTTCCAGCGCCGGGCAGGGAGCTCTCCTCCTCCGATCCGCCCCGTGGGCTGAATGCGCACACGCTGCAAGAGCTGCGCGCGCATTCAGCCGGTCGCATAGGAAAGCATTTATAATGCTTTCCTATGGACGCTTGCGTGCTCTCACTGTGATTTTCACAGTGAAAAGCACGCAAGCGCCTCTAGCGGCTGTCAATGAGACAGCTGCTAGAGGCTTTGGGGGAAGGCTTAAACCATTGATAAACATAGCAGTTTCTCTGAAACTGCTATGTTTATAAAACAATGGGTTAACCCTAGAAGGACCTGGCACCAAGACCACTTCATTAAGCTGAAGTGGTCTGGGTGGCTAGAGTGGTCCTTTAAGAGTGTAGTGTGTATGTATATGTGTGTGTGTATATATATATATATATATATATATATTTGGAAGTATTGTGTATGTGTGTGGTGCAGTGTGTTGGGGGGGTTCTGTGTGTATGTGAGGGGTGCAGTATGTGTGTGTGTGAGGGTGCGGTGTATGTGTGTGTGTGAGGGTGCGGTGTATGTGTGTGTGTGAGGGTGCGGTGTATGTGTGTGTGTGAGGGTGCGGTGTGTGTGTGATGTGTGTGAGAGTGCCGTGTGTGAGTGATGGGTGTGAGAGTGCCGTGTGTGAGTGATGGGTGTGTGAGTGCTGTGTGAGATGGGTGTGAGAGAGTGCTCTGTGAGAGTGCTGTGAGAGAGTGCTGTGTGTGTGTGAAAGTGCTGTGTGTGATGGGTGTGAGAGTGCTGTGTGTGTGTGAGTGCTCTGTGAGAGTGCGCTGTGTGTGATGGTGTGAGAGTGCTGGGTGTGAGAGTGCTGTGTGTGATGGGTAAGAGAGTGCTGGGTGTGAGTGATGGGTGTGAGAGTGCTGTGTGAGAGTGCTGTGTGTGATGGGTGTGAGAGTGCTGTGTGAGAGAGTGCTGTGTGTGATGGGTGTGAGAGTGCTGTGTGAGAGAGTGCTGTGTGTAATGTGTGTGAGAGTGCTGTGTGTGATGGGTGAGAGTGCTGTGTGTGATGGGTGAGAGTGCTGTGTGTGAGAGTGCTGTGTGTAATGTGTGTGAGAGTGCTGTGTGTGATGGGTGAGAGTGCTGGGTGTGAGAGTGCTGTGTGTGATGGGTGTGAGAGTGCTGTGTGTGATGGGTGTGAGAGTGCTGTGTGTGATGGGTGAGAGTGCTGTGTGTGATGGGTGTGAGAGTGCTGTATAAATGTTATTGTGTGTGTGTGTAGGGGGGGTAAATAAAAAAATAAAAAAAAAAGTCATTATTTCCCCCCCTCCCTTCTTACCTTTAGCCTGGGAGGGGGGTCCGGCACGCTGGAAGGCGGGGTGGCAGTGTTCCCTGGTGGTCCTCGTGGGTGAGTGAACTCTAGCCTGTGAGGCTAGAGTTCACTCTCGCGAGATCCGGTCGTTGCCATGGCAACGCGCCGGATCTCGCGAGAGGAACCCGGCGGAGCTGCAAGTTAGAGCTCCGCCGGGTCCTCTCTCCAGCCTAGCTGGCTGTCTCCCTCCCTCCCTCCCCGCCGGCGGCCGCATGTGGGCCGGTCAGGGAGATCCTTGATCTCCCCACCGGCCCGTCGTGACAAACAGCGGGGCCGGCGCTAGGAGAGTGCCGGCCCTGCATAGACCGGCAGGGGAGATCCTGGGACCTCCCCTGCCGGCCTCGGCCCATGGCCACCGCGGCCCACCGGGCATTTGCCCGGTGTGCCCGATGGCCAGTCCGGGCCTGCTGTACATAAAAAAAGACAGATATAGATCCTTTGTGTACTATTGCCTAACCTAGGTCTGAGGGAACCTATGAGCTGGTGTTGTACCATCAAATGGTTCTATGTTTCTATAGGACATAGTCTTAAATTAGAGGGACAAAGGTTTAAAAATAATATCAGGAAGTATTACTTTACTGAGAGGATAGTGGATACACTGAATAGCCTTCCAACTGAAGTGTTAGAGGTTAACACAGTAAAGGAGTTTAAGCATGCGTGGAATAGGCATAAAGCTATCCTAACTATAAGAGAAGGCCAGGGACTAATGAAAGTATTTAAAAAATTGGGCAGACTAGATGGGCCGAATGGTTCTTATCTGCCGTCACATTCTATGTTTGGAGTATAGGGTCAATATCATTAAAATAAAGCATGTTAATAGGGAAAACAGAAAAAAAATCAGCGCTAAATAGCCACAATATATGAAGGCTGCACTCCTCAAAAGGGAATCCCCTACAATTCCCCAATGATTGGAAGAACACAAAACAAACAGTACAATAAGGATGCGCCTAAAATGTATACTAAAATATATGAAATAAAATAAGTTATAAAACAATGTATAAAATATGATATAAAAAATAGTTTACAATCGTCCAAAACTTATCAAAGTTCGTGATGAGTAGTCCCACGTAAAAATAAAGGAAGATTCTTTAAGGTGTGGAGTAAGGTCAAATCTTCATAATTGTATGTATAGGATTCAGTGGAGCATATGTGGAGAGAAGAAGAAACAGGACTCCAATGGTACAGTATGTAGATACGTTGAAAATGAAATAATAAAATAGGTCTTACTCACAATTTTCAGAGCTGAGGATCTAGCTCTGATGTTAAGCACGTGAAGTGGAATAATCCCCACTCAAGGATATATGGAATAGACTTCAAATGGCGATTCTCTGGTACACGTTCAACGTCCAAAGTACAGACCCAAAAGAAGAAAATAAAATATATAGTGCTCTGTGTTACGGTAAAGTATTAAAATTATAAAAAGAATATTACTCACATTCTTTTGAGCAGGTATATACTGCTCACTATAAGCGCTTGGGTGGTATAATCCCCACCTATGGATTCTTTAAGCTTCTTCTTTAGCACTTTGTTTGGTGCTTCTCTGCAGGTCAGATTCTCGTCAGTCCCTATAACATCGTATCAATTGAATACTTACTATGTGGACTGTAAATGTACACGTTACAATCTGAATATGGCACTATGCTGTAATAAAATTTTGACTATGAAGGGATTCTGGGAACTGGAATGTTCCTGTAACATTATTGTTGTATTATATTTGTCTTCTATTGAAAAAGAAAAGAAAAAACGAGATATGAAGAAAAATAAAATGATTTAGAGCACAGAAAAAAACCTTGAGGCTAGATTTTGAGTAATAATAACTTTTGCCATCTTACACACTCTCTATTCTCTAAATTAGTGTAATATATAGTCAAAGAGGTATGAGGGAGCACACTAGGTTTTCAAATTATTAATTTGCACCTCGGTATCAGAGTAATGATTTTTCTATTAGGGAGGAGTGCCAAGCTTTCTTATTTTTGAGATATATATATATATATATATATATATATATATATATATATATATATATATATATTATATAATAAAACAATAAACAATACAAAAAGATATGATTAATTATTATTTCCTAAGACCTGTATGATGAAGAACGAAATAAGTGTTTAAATGTAACAATGAATGAATCCTAAACCTTCTGCTCATAGCAATAACAGCTACTATCAGGCTCCTGACTACATGTACCGGCATCCCTCGCTCCCCAGTGACGTCATTAGAGGCCGACTCTGTCCCTCCAGCTCCAGAGTTGGGCTCGCTCTGACAATGGCAGCTTGGGCTAAGGGGGTTCGGGCGGTGCTCCTGGATGTCAGTGGGGTGCTGTATGACAGCGGTGGACCGGCAGGGGGAGCTGCCATCCCAGGCTCCATAGAGGCAGTAAGCAGGTGAATGCTGGGAAACACGGTAGAAATAAATCAAGTGGGCGTGGTCTGAACTGTCATAGGAAGTATTGATCGGGGGCGTGGTCTGGAGTAGTGGTAGGGGGCGTGGTTTGGACTGTCATATGAAGTAGTGGTAGGGGGCGTGGTTTGATGCCCAGAGACAACCTGGGCCATGAGCTGTCGGTGTATGACGTCATAACTGTGCTGCATTAAAATTATAGCTGGTGGTAGCCCATAAAGAAAGGCTGTTCTACAACTATACCTCCCATCATGCTTTGCCAGAGCAGAAGATGTCAAAGCATCATGGAATTTGTAGTTCTTCAACAACTGGGAGCTTGTATGTGTTTTATTTTAAAACTACAATTCCCTGAATGCATTGCAAGCATAAAACCTGCCAAGGCATCATGTGAGTTGTAGTTTTACAAGAGCTGGGGAGTGTGTTTTACGGTATACCTACTGTGATGACGGAGCAATGTGACGGTCCATTCACTACAAAGTCAACTGAAAAGCAGTTTTGCAAAGTTTCTGCAAAAAATAGTCAATGTTTGCAAATGATCCATTTTACCTATGTATTGCAAAATTTAATTTTTATTAAAATCCACTACAATTTGGTGTTTAGTTAAATAACCCTTGTGGAAAGGACAAGTGGATAATGGAAAGAGAAGACAAAAAGGGTTCACAAGTCTCTGAAATTACAGACAGTGATGAAAAATTGTCAGAGTCAAATTAATCACTTTTATGATTTGATCTATATATATTTTTTATACTTTTTTTTTAACGTAACCAGATAAATACACAAAATAGGCGTACATATATCAGTGTGTACAAATATAAGAGTGTAGCACGATGTCACACAGCAATGCATAGAGTATGTGAACATCAAAGTTTTCTGGCAAGGTTTTAACTTTTACCCTGGAAAGAGCTCAAATAGAAATAAAAATCACCGATGTATAAGCAGACCATAACCACTGCGTTCAGTGCATCCATGCAGACCCAATTTAATACACTGCCCCCTCCATCCATTCTAATACATTGCCCACAAATCCAATACATTGCCTCTACACAGGAAGGTCCCCCAAGCCCCTCTTACCCGACATTAAGATGAGCCACCGTCCTCTAGTTCCAACCCTGCTCTTCTCTGCTCAAGCAGGCTAGAAACTCCTCTATAAACCAAAACTGCCTCATTAAGCTAAAGTTGTTTTGGTAACTATATTATCCCGTTAAGGAATTTGTATCTTCATCAGTTAGCAATAAGTGGTCCTTCAGATAACATTTATTTAGGTACAAATATATTCAGATCTACTTCTAGTTAGATCCACCATTTTAGAGTACCGTATATGCTCTTAATTTTCTTTCCACAAAAAATCTGACTCTTATCTTCATCGGTTAGCAATAAGTGGTCTTTCAGAAAACTTTTAATTAGGTACAAATATATTCAGATCAGGGATACCAACTTGTATGGAATAAGGAACTAGAATTGTGATCCGACATTCAATTTATATCGTTTCTAAAAATATCTGTAAAACTATTGCTTTGTAACAATGAGTTGAAATAAAAATCTTCAACTTGGCTGTTTTAGTCTAGATTTTGCAATCCCCTTTTCACTTAGATTTTTGTGTTTAGTGAGTGTAAATGTGTGTATGCGAATATCCCATATTACCTAAAAAATAAATAAATAAGGAGATAGCTAATTATTTGGAAGTCCTTGTCACTTTCACATTATTGTCCAAATTAGCGGGACTGAATACATAGCTGACTTGAATAATTTTTTGCAGGTATTCACACGGAAAATGTTCATTGTCAACATTGTTATATATACCTACTATATATCTTAATATGGCAACTACCATCGTAGGTGAAACTAAAGCAATATATTTTTTCCTTTAAACATAGCCATTGAAACATGACCAAGTCTAAATATAACTGAAATATGACACATGGATAAGCAGTCTGTAGTTTACTACAAGCACTGAACAAGGATAGCATGCACATACTATGAATACTGTTCTCTATACTGTAAACATATTGAATATGCTTGGAGTAGTCTGCTAGGAGAGCTCAATTCACAGTAACTTTCAATGGCATTATACAATATGTAGCAGCCAATTCAAAGTTCATAGTAGGAAATAAAGTGTTGCATTTATTAATGTGACCATGTCAAGCAATTATTTTTTACATGATTGAAACTTTTATGGGATGCTTGTATTGACTACATTGGAATGTCAACAAAATCAGTCAAAAGATATCATAAGATAAAGTCAGAAATTGTTTTCTTTATACAACAGCCTCAAGTTAACAAAACTTGACAAGTCATTATTTCCGCCTTCAGGGTTTCTCGGTTCCCACAGCAGTTGCTAGCATTTATATGCAAAGACCCCAACAGCAGCAGAGCCACTTTAAATGGAACCGATAGTCCGTAAAATAAAATTCGTTATTTCGGAACTATTAGATTCCCTTCCATATACTCATCTTCTGTCCAGCCTCTTCCCCTCCGTTTGCATTTAATAAAAAAGGTAAAATAAAGAATACTCAACTATTTTCCAGTGACGGGCCTCCTCTGCTGCACCCGCTCAACCTTTGAAGACACCAGCTGATGTCTTCCCTATTGATTCCCAGACCGAGTTTTACTCAATCTGGAGGAAGAAGTACTTCTAATAGCTGTCCGAAAGACAACCATTAGTGGTGAATTTAATCCTAAAAAACTGCAATCTTTTACAAAATGACCAGACTACTGCACGAAGACCACTCAATTGAGATGAAGTGATCTGAGAGACTATAGTATTCCTTTAATATTAGTTTTTTCTAAATCTAGGTTTGTGGAGAATTGGCAAGGAAATTGTACATATTAGACTCCAAGACTCTATAAAGATTCTATATTTCTGAAAATCTCAAAAGTGACAGAACTGACTTAAAGTTGACTAATTTGGGCATGTGGACATGGCAAAGTAAGAACTTGCTGAAGATAGGTCCAACGCAGAAGCCCCGGAGACAGGTATGAAAAGAAGATAAAAGAGCCATAAAGATCTGGGAAGAATGATGACAGCAAGGAGACACCCAAGGATTTTATAGAAATGAGAGCAAAGATCTAGAGAGAACAATGTTAGGGCTCTCTTTGTTTGGGTGAGGACTTGACTACTATATGGACAGTGTGGGGGCTAATCAAGTCATTGTGACTTTGTGTGTGAATAAATGTAATATTAGTAAGTATGAATGCAAGTGTACACATATATACATATATGTTTACATATGCCTACATAAACGTACGCTTTGGACAAAAATTATGAAGTGATATTGATGGTGGAAAGCTAGTTGAAGGCTTTAAGCCTGTTATTAATGTCCAAGAGTTTAAAGATTGCATACATCCCAACACTCTGGCCTATGGAATCGGGAGAGGGTCCTAGTGCCCCCTGCACAGCGCTAGTCCATTACCAGGGAACTAAAGCAGGACTTTTGGTGGGCCTGAGGTTGTGACACAAATTTGAGGTACTGCGCCATCAGACACCTCACATTTAAATGAGCTGTACGTGTTATGATGCTTAGAATGTATCGTTCAATGTATGTGTATCTTGCACTCTCTCACAAGGTGCATGGAGTCCATAGTTCTACTGACTTTTCCTGAAGTTCTGGGATATTGGCACAACCACATGGTGAGCGTATACCACAGGCCTTGCACTGAAACCAGGCAGAACAGATACATATGCTTAGTGGGATGTACATTTTATACCACGGGGTAGAGGATTCATTGCATGTGGTCCATCATATTTAAGAGTGGTTTTATAGCAGTATATAGCTGTCTAGAGTATACCTAGAAATATACTTTGTATATGTAGTATACAGTTAGGTTAGCTCTGTTGGTCTTTTTGCATGAAGTATAATCAAAAGTGTGTCTTTTGTTTGTTTCCCCCTGTATTATTTGTATACAATACAAACACACAGACCTGTCTAGTCAAAGAAGGTAGTAAAACCTTCTTAAAGCTCAGCTGGAGGTCTGCTTGCATGTTAATGCTTAGATCAGTTGGATATTTACAGCGGGTTGTTTTCTAAATAATAAACGTTTCTGACCATAGCAACAAACAAGAACAGTATAGCCCTGAGCATCTGCTATCGGAAGTCCTCACATTCCTCCATTCAGGTTGAGCAAGACTCCAAAAGTTAATGAAATCGAGCTGTAATAGATCATAAAGTAATCATAAACCACAGGAGGGCAGCCATAGAGACATATACTAAATGTGACATTTTTAAACCCGTTTTCAAAATCAAGGATTGTATGAAGAAGAAAAAAATATTATGCCACAGTGGGCTAAAACATACATCATTCTATGACCGGATATTAATCTACAACCAGTGGATAGACTATTTGGACATCACTGTTCTACTTTCTGCAAATTATTGGCCATCAAACCTAAATATATATATATTTTTTTTTCCATTTCTAAATAAATGTAAGTTTATTTATAAGAACAAATCCTTATTAAAAAGTATTTGTTTTGCATTATCAACAGATGGGGCTATATTACGGGCTTCGTATAGTTTTAAATCAAGGTCAAAGTGTCCTTCAAGGCTCCATAATCACTACATGCCAAAGAAGGGATTTTTGTGTCATTTGGAATGCGTGTGATGTCACCAGTTTCTTGGTCAAACGTTTTGAGCAATTTCACTTTGATTTAAAGGTTGTCATGGAACAGGGCTTAAGAACCAGCATATCAGCGAACCAGGATTCATTGTAATGGTAGTGTTATAGCGTGTCATAAGTGTAATGTAGCCTCTAATTAATTGTGCTGTTTCGCCTGTGGTGGGGTGGCTTGGGTTTCGAGCCACATGGTGGGGACTGGGAGTAATGATATTTCCATTTAGAACAATATACCAGTGAACGTTTGAGTGATGATTGTGCCATTAAGTAATTCTAAAGACGTGTGGCATCGTAATAACTAGTGATGGAAAAGAAGGCTTATCCCACCCTTCGTTCTAGGGTTACAAAGGTAGGACAATCTGAGGGACTCTTTCCAGCCCACACTTGTACTAAGCTCAGAGAGAACCATCCTTGCAGCTCTGCTGCTGAAACCACGCACCCACAGCAGACATTTTTAAAGTTTGTCAGATTCAATTCACATACCTCCCAACATGTCAAAAGAACAAAGAGGAACACATTCATGTTAGGGTGTGAGTGGGGTTGTGGCAAGAGGCAGGGCTGGTCTGAAAAAAATTATATGACTTACTTAAAACAATTTATGTAACCAATTTATGTAAAATACAATTTAGAACAAGAACAATGTATCTTATTTACACAGACTGATTTCTAAACACATTTATTGTAGTTTAAAGACACATTACTGTGAGTATTATTGCTGTGGAGCTCTGTTATACACTCAGAGGCACCAACAATATGGAGCTCTTAGAAAAGAGGGACATTAGATAAAAACGAGGTACAGGGTGATGTGTGACATGTCAGGATTCCCTTTAATTCCAGAAGTTTGGTCCTTAAGGGGTTAATAGAGACACTTGGGATGTATGTACGCACATCACAGTTATTACATAACTATGAACTTTTTCTTTTCATTTTTTGACAGCAAACTATTTTATTTTGTGTGGTTTTTTTTATATAGTTTTGTCTTCCTCCAGCAATTCTTTCGGTTTAACTTTTAGCTCTCCAATTAAAGTGTGTTGGTGATTAAGCATTGTGTCCCTTTAATGAGGGAAAACAGATGCAGTGATCACAATTCAGATTCCTGTCAGCAGCCAATTAATGATTAAATGGCACATAAGCATTTATGCAGGTAATTGTTTTACCAACACAGATGTTTTGTGGGACTCATAAAAGATCAGAGGGGATGATTGTCTAGTGAAATTAGGATCAGATTAACTCAATGCCTTTGAAAGTGGTATCCTCATTTCAATGAGGCAAAACAAAGCCTTTTGTAACTGAGATGCAGAAGTGTGGCTTTTTATTCTTGTGTAATAGGGGCACGCTTAACAAGTTAACAGTTGACAAAGTTGTAATATTAAAATTCACTGAGAGTTTATAGCCAGTCGTAAAAAAAACAATGCATGTCCTGAAATAAAAGTAAAATCTGGTTACTCTTTGGGTTGCTTAAAGGGGCACTCAAAGCTGCATAACCAAAACAGCTCTGTGTATAGTGTTTATGGTGTTATCAGTGTAAGGGTTCCATACCAAGTTTTCTGTCAGACGGTTTTGGAACAGTTTGACAAAAAACAGATGTTACAGCACCCATAGTCCAAGGTAGTGATAGGCTCAGAGTAGTGAACTACCATAGTCATTGCCATTCAAGGTTGGCTGGATATTTGCATGCGATTTTATCCGAGAGACAGGTTATGTGCTGTGGTGGGGCAGAAGGAGCATTGGTTTATGACAAACTAGTCCAAAGCAGTTTCACAATCTATTGATAATGCCTGTTAATCAGTGGTGTATTTAGGATTTGTGCTGCCATAGGCATGACGGTTTCTAGGCCCCCCTAATTTACATTTTCCCCACCCCTTCCTGTCAAGGCCGCACTTTGACTGACAGACGCTCACTCACTGACAGACGCACTCTCATATACACTGACAAATAATAACACACACACACTATTACTTGGACACACACTGACAGATGCACGCACTCACTGACAGACGCACACTCTCATATACACTGACAAATAATGACATACACACACACTATTACTTGGACACACACTGACAGATGCACGCACTCACTGACAGACGCACACTCTCATATACACTGACAAATAATGACATACACACACACTATTACTTGGACACACACTGACAGATGCACGCACTCACTGACAGACGCACACTCTCATATACACTGACAAATAATGACATACACACACACTATTACTTGGACACACACTGACAGACGCACGCACTCACTGACCGACACATACACACTCACATAGACACACACACACACACACACATTTACAGACACACAAATACTGTAATCAACACAAATTATTGTCTCCTAATCAGCAGTAATTAAAAACTGTGATGCTACACATCTCACAAGCTGTAATCTACAGTATTTTAATTTAAAAAAATATATAAGTTTACACATATATATATATACATATATATATATTTAAGTTTGCTTCGAGGTAGCATTTTTCATTAGAAAGTTAATATTGGAAAATGAGTGTGCTACTTTATGTCGGAGAGTACCAGAGCTAATATTAGATAGTATTACTTTACTCAAAAGGTCATCGACACATGATACAGCTTTACACATGGGCTGGAAAAAGTAGACAAATACATTTGGGAAAATTTAAAGAAATCCAACAATCAACGGCTATTATGGTTAGTTTTTTTAACGTGATAAAATTGATAAAATTAGTACCTTTTCAAAGGACATTGTAAGCACCGCAAGTATAACCACAGCTGTGGGTCGGCTAATGCGAAAGTTAACTTTCCGCATTAGCACAGAGGGAGAGTTTGCTCAGAGTGTTCCACCATCCCTACCTGTCCCAAATTGAGCAGCTAATTGGGAAGTGCAGATCCACATGAGCTGAGCCTAGAAGAAAGGGCAGTTTTCAGGCAGTAGAAGGCCAACCTCTCAGACATTTTTGGCAAGGTTAATCTTGACACAAGAGTGACCCAGCTTACCTGAATAACTCCAGGAAGTTGAACAACCAAAAATGTCAGTGTCTCCCTGGTCAGGAATATAGAAATTAATGAAAATGAAAGACAAATCTAAAAATAAGAAAACCAGAATTCACAGCAATCCGAGAAACAAAATAAAAAAAACAAAAAAAAAACAAAACACTGTAATGGAAGCCTTTATCAATTTGGAATCGGTGAACCTGTCACTGCGCTCTCATGTCACTTGACACCACCTAAGAAGGGTATATACCCCTGTGATGAAATTACTCACTTCTTTTCCAGCGTTGGGACTCTTCCACCAGTGGTGTTATCAAGCATGCTGACATCAACTGCCATCTCGTCCAATCCAGTGCTTTTTGCATCTGCAGCATTTGATTGCAGGACTGAGCTTTACTGGTTTATGGCGATGAGAGACCTCTAGTGGCTGTCCGCTAAATAGAGGTTAGCTCTGAGAATAGTTTGGCTTGGTTATCACAGTGGATGCATATCTAGTGGCTGTAAGCAAGACAGCCACAAAATGGCTATTTAACCCCTTAAGGACACGTGACATGTCATGATTCCCTTTTATTCCAGAAGTTTGGTCCTTAAGGGGTTAAAGGGACATTGTAGTCACCAAAACAACTTTAGCTCAGTGAAGCAGTTTTAGTCTGTATATCATGCCCCTGCAGTCTCACTGAACAATTATCTGCCATTTAGGAGTTAAATAACTTGTTTATGCAGCCCTTGTCACACCTCCCTGCATGTGACTCACACAGCCACCCTAAACACTTCCCTGTAAAGAGTCATTCAATGTTTACACCTACTTTATTGCAAATTCTGTTTAATTTAGCATTTCTTATCTCCTTCTCTGTTGATAGCTTGCTAGACCTTGCAGGAGCCTCCTATGTGTGATTAAAGTTAAATACACAGAGCAGGAAATAAAAACATTTAAAGTAAGTGATGTCTGATTGACATTGAAACTATTTGTTTTAATGCAGGCTGTGTCAGGCACAGCCAGGGGAGGTTGGCTAGGACTGCATAAATAGAAACAAAAGTGATCTAACTCCTAAATGGCAGACAGAGTTCAGAGGTATGATCTATACACCAAAACTGCTTTGTTAAGTTAAAGTTGTTTTGGTGACTATAGTGTTCCTTTAATACAAGCATTGCAGTGTCTCATAAATGACAATGTTTTTTGCTTCAATGCTTTCCTATGGGGATTTTACTGACAATGGATGTCTTCATGGAGAACGTGGGGGACTGTACCCAGACCACTTCAATAAGCTTAAGTGGTCCAGGTTCCTGTAGTGTCATTTCCTATCAGCTTTGGTATAGTTAACCTACGTTCTGCGTGTTGGGTTATAGTTCATCTTGACACTCAGGCAGCAAACCTATTAAAAAAGGTATTTTTCTTATTTTTTGAAAGGAATCTAAAACTAAAAAAAATGCAAAAAATATATTTACATTGGCTGATATTTTGGGGATAAAATGGGTTTTCTTATACTGAGTATTGGTGCCTATAGTGATTGCTCCTTATTTTGCAGTTCATCTCAGAATAGCATCTAGTTGTTCGTGTGTAACATGGCATTTTGTTTCCATACTCCACTAAGTGTATTTGCAGTATACTGGGTGATGGCCCATTTGTATCTGACTTGGCTCAGAGCTATGGCACTTGTTGGGTGAGTTTGTTGGTACATGAAAGAACAGATGTTGTGTGTCCGTCCCTTTCTCCTGTCACACCCGCTGCTCACTGTTCTGAGAAGGTCGCATAGTAATTTATTAGAAATAATTGGTCCCTTGGCTGCTTCGCTCACCTGCATCATTACCCTCTGTATGTGCCACGCACCGCTGGCATATTAGTGGAGTAAATTGGGGACCACTTTATCTCTTTATCCAAATGACTCATTTAAAAAGAGAAAAGCTTATGTTATGAAGGGCAATTACACTGTAAGTGCTATGAATAATTTTCATCTTTCTGTTGGGCAGAGACAAACCGCAGAGCTGTATTTAACCTTAAATTATTGAGGCCAGAGGCACCGAGGGGATAAACATAATACCGTATGCCATAATACAAAACGTACGATTCAGTATAACAAGTTTTGCAAAGCTGTGTACTATGTTTCCTATTGTTCTAGCATTAATAGTAGCTTTTGTCTCTACTTTAATGTCTCTTTATAATACAGGATAAGGGGATCTGGGTTGAAGCTGCGTTTCTGCACCAACGAGTCACAGGCTACACGCGATCACTTTGTCCGGAAGCTGCAAAGATTTGGCTTTATGATATCTGAAGAAGAAGTAACCGCACCAGGTCCTGCAGCCAAAAAACTGCTAAAAGATCGTGGTTTGCGCCCCCACTTATTAGTACATGATGGTCAGTGTCCGATCAACAGCATCAATTTGTCACAAAAGGGCTAAGTAACTTGTACAGTATACTTGATCTTCAAAAATATGTACAATCATGGTTGACGGATAGAGATAAGGGAAAAATTCAATTTACCGTTACTGTCTATTTGTTTATCTTTCTCTCTGTGTATATATATATAAAAACTAAGTGTGTGTGTGTGTGTGTGTGTGTGTGTGTGTGTGTGTGTGTGTGTGTGTGTATGTATGTATATATATATATATACACACACACATACATACATACACACACACACACACACACACACACTTAGTTTTTAAAGTGCTTTGTATGTTTAACCCATGATAATGCAAGAAAACGTCTGAATTCTTGGTAAGGTGGTTTAGTAAGTATGTCCTATGATGATGTAAACTAGCCTCTTCACCTGCTTTTTATAAGTATCCATAATGGATGTAGACTATGTATATTGCCAGTGAGCTCGCCTATGCAAAGCTATCAGTTCTATTTAGTTATTGATGTAAAACAGAGGTGATGAAAAAGATTTGCCCAGCTCTTGTAGCGGCTCAACAGCCATGATGGTTTGTCAGTCTACAACAGACGAGAAACTGCCTTGGGGCTAAATGTTGGACTCTGATGTTATCCTTGTCTTTGTAATAGATCTGCTGCCTGAGTTTGACTCAACTGATAAGTCTGACCCAAACTGTGTCGTTATTGGAGATGCCGCTGAAAACTTCTCCTATCAAAACGTGAACCATGCATTTCAGGTTCTACTGAACATGGAGAAACCGATCCTTATTTCACTAGGAAAGGGGTGAGAGTGTGTAACCTCTATAACCTGCTGCTCCATGCACTGGCGAGGGGGAGAAGAGAAGCATGCTTTGCAATGCGTTAATCCACATAAAAGGGACTCTATAGACACCCATCTCATTGAAGCGGTCTGTTTTAACCCTGCAGCAGAAAACATTGCTATTCTGCCTCTTGTGACTATAGCGCTATAGTGTTCCTTTAAATCACCTGGTTGGCAAATCTGTTTTGTTTATCGTTATATGACAACACTATGTGCATTGCTATTGTATAACTGGAGACACAGAGTTCTATAACTTAGCACTCTTCCCCCAGGCGATATTATAAGGAAACTGATGGCTTGAAGTTGGATGTAGGAGCATATATGAAAGCACTGGAGGTAAGTTACCCTGCTTCTCCCCTTAATATTACCCTATGTTGCTCCAGGCTACTAATTACATTATTGTCTCTTACAGTACGCCTGCGATATAACCGCTGAGGTTGTGGGAAAGCCATCACCAAATTTTTTCATGTCAGCCTTAGCAGAAATGGGTGTAAAGCCAGAAGAGGTAAGTATCTTTTCTTTTAAAGTCTGTAAGTGATACGTTGCATTACTTCAGCCATCTGTATTCTTGCTAAGATAAGCTATTGCAGCTGTTACTACTCCATTTTTTTTGGTCTTTTAAATTTGACACGTTAAAAACTATTAGAAGGGTTAGGGAAAGTTTGCACTAAGGCTAAATGATCCCTGAATACAGAATAATTAAAGGGCAGCTCACAATGGAATTACCCATTTACACAATTTAAAAAATACACTCCTCTGGGGGCGTGCTCTGGATCCAGACGAGACCAGCCGCATGTAAGCAACGTTCCATGCTGTGGAGGCCTTAAACGGAGCAATTGAACCCCAGACACCTAAGAAAACGAGCATGTCCCTAAAGCGAAAAGGAACGCAGAACAGGGGGATAAAACCCAATTCTTCACTTCGAAATCGAGTCAATGCAAGGTTTCTCCGCCATCCAAGATGGGGCCGATGAGGACTCGGAGCAAAACCTGCCAACGGAGACTAACAGCACGACATTGAACCACATGGTAATGCAAACCATGCTGGATGCTATGTCAGAGAAAATCTTACAAACCCTGCAAAACACCACAGCAGGCCTGAATAAGGACCTAACAGAGCTTTACTGATACGGAGAGCCTCCTTCCTCCCCAAGAAGGCCCCAAAGAGAACCACAGAGATCCAGAAGGAGCTCTACGAGCTTTCTGTTCAAAACCAGCTTACCCCGTTTGTCACAGCCAGAGGCAGAATCACACAACTCACTAGAAGCCTCCACCAACAAGCATCAGAACAAATAGGCTTCTACATGAAAAAAATTCAAATAAACCGATACTCTCAAGGCAATAAAGCCGGCAAACTATTAGCACAGAGGCTTAAAGCTAGGCAGGCCTCCCAAAAAAAATCACGTACCTCACCTCTCACACCAAACTCACGACTCTGAAAGCCATAAGCGATGAGATTGTCCACTATTACGCACAACTATACAATTTAAAGGACGACCCACATACACCCCAACCCCTAGAGTCTGGCATAAAGGACTACTTAGATACAATACATCTGCCTAAACTAACAACCCAACAACACTCTGACCTAACGAGACCCATAGAAGGACAATTTTAAGAACGCTGGTATTTCAGATACCCATTCACTTTTGTTTCCTCCCGAACTACTATAGGCTGAGTAATTATAGCTCGCAGTTCGGGTGTTGATTCGAACATTCTTCAGAAGAAAATGCAGTATCCAAGTAAATTCCCCAAGCAATCAGGCGTATACCCAAACATCAGCCTAGACTAGATGAAGGGTACAACAGGAAAGAATTTATTCAGGCCAACTGGCCGTTTTATATGCAAGTCCCCATGCAAGGGGTTTACCGTGACATATTCCAGGGGCACTCCCCACTGGACCTGAGAGGGGACTATGGCAAAATGCACACTGTACTTACATTGACTCTCAGATCCAGGACACTCCTACACAAAACAGGATCACCTGTGCCTGTGAGATGATTGAGTCAGGAACTGTCCTAAACTCAATTATCTCCAGGCACAGAAAACATACATTTTAACAACCCGCGAAAGTACCCCCAAGACACATGAAAACCCTACAAAAGTCATATCCACTGATAGCCCCGATCTGGGGGACCAACATATACAAAAATCACCCAGATCGGTTCAGGGTTTCGGGATTTCCATGGAATGCATAATTTGACCAACCACACACGAGGCTCCTGCCCAAAACAGTTCCAGAGAATCAGGGCTGGCGGTCGGTTCCGTTCAGTAGTTTAAAAACCTTACATAGTCAATAGTCTTACCCTGGAGCTTGTTCCCCCTCATCCAGATGAACGATTCCACCGAACAGTGCCCTTCTGGGTTGTGGAGAACCAAACGCAGGTGATGATGGAAGTCTGGCGGTGTTCTGGAGTTTTCATGTCCGATTTTAGTTCCAGGAACTCCACGACCAAACACCGCTCCCTGCGTTCATGCGAACAAGATGGCCACAATCTCATGGTCGTTCATGCGAACAGCGGCCACCCAGACAAACAATTAGAACACTGCAGTTAGAATTGTTACCAAGTGTTAATAAGGTTTAACAAGCTCCTGGGTGGTCTCTGGTTCGGTTCCTGAACCACATAATCCCAATTGCATGAACAGTGCACTTTTAAAGTAAATTAGCCAGGTCTATTTCAGGGGCCATAGTTCTGAGGCAAGAGGCGGGCCAACAGGCCCCTCCAAGAACTCGTGGCGAGGTTCAGTTTGTCACAGACAGAAAATCCTATCGGTGATTAAAACGTTATCAACGGCAAATCCCCCGGCCCTGGCGGTTTAGACAATCTGTATTACAAAAAAATTTAGCAGCAAACTAGCCCCACAATTAGTTAGAGCATACTCAAATGCCATAACGACGAAGACTCTACCTACGGAAATGTTACTTGCACATATAGTCACGTTGTCAAACCCAGGGAAATCACTGACACTCCCACAGAATTTCAGGCCCATTTCATTTTTTAAAACAGGTGCAAAGCTTCTAGCCAAGTTGTATGCAGCCCGTTTGGGATCCATTCTACCACATCATTCATAAAGATGGCTTTGTAACAGGCAGACAGGGACCGGATAATATTAGGAAAGTAGTTAACATCCTGCATAGCCTCCGGAAACAGCTTCAGGGAGGACTATTAGTCTCCTGTGGATTGGAAAAGGCCTTCGACCACCTTCATTGGCAAATTTTGAGGGCTGTGCTGCACAAGTTTGCCTTCCCGGAGGGCTTTAGGTCAGTAGTCGAGGCCCTCTATAGCTCGCCGAGGACACAGTTGCTCAACTCTGGGTTCTTATTGGAACCACTACAATTGACAAACGGAACATGACAGGGATATCCCCTCTCCCCCTTACTCTACGTCCTGGCCTTTGAGCCACTAGCAGCCAGAATCAGGGACAATACCTCCATACACGGTGTGTATGGAGGGAAAAAGGAGTACATCACTAACCTGTTCGCGGACGATGTCCTACTCAAACTCACACAACCCCAGATTTCCTTGCCGAATCTATTAGAGGAAACAAAAACGTATGGGAGCCACTCTTATTTTAAATTAAATGTCGCCAAGACTTATGCTATGGGAGTGGTGGTCCCACAACGCACACTGGACCTATTACAGGCCTCTTTCTCCTTGAACTGGAGGAAGGACTATATTACCTTCCTGGGGATCAAACTGAATAAGAGCCCGGTAAACTTACTAGCTACAAACTATGACCAGTTACTGCTGGACATGGGCGACACAATAAAAGGATGGGAGGGAAAGTTTTTGTCCTGGCTGGGAAGACTGGTGGCAGTGAAAATGCTATCGAAATTTCTATATTTAATCAGTACGCTGCAAATTCACCTACCAAAAACCTATTTAGATAAATTGCAGAAGCTTTTCACATGCTTTATCTGGGACAACCGCAAAATACGGGTGGCAACAAAAATTTTATGCTGGCACCCAGCTAAGGGAGGATTGGGGATGCCAGATATCCAACTATATTATAAGGCTGCCATTCTCTCCACAGTGGTCCAGACTCACGCAATGGATTCACCACCACAGTGGGTGGAACTGGAGTCTTCTTGTTCATGCCCCAGATGCCTGAAACACCTGTTTTGGGTGCCCCACACACAACGCCCAACATGCCACCCACCACCGCACTGCTCCTAAAAAAGTAGGACATGATTAGAAAAACCCTGGGATATACCATTACCTGGGCATGGGCTACCCCATTATACAGCAAACACATAGCTAATCCCACCTTTGATCATCGCCCCTGGATAAACGGGGGTTGTACAACTATATGCGCAGAATAGGCTGTTGGCTTTTCCAGAGCTACAAAGGGAGGTCCAGGTGTGCCTCCCATATGGAGATAATGCGACAATTACAATACAGATGGTACATGGTGCCGGAAAGGCTGGCGCTTATATACCCCAACAGCTCAGATAGGTACTGGAGGTGTCAACTGAAAGAGGTGCAATGTACCACATATGGTGGACGTGCTCAAAGATAGAGCCCTATTGGAGAGTGGTAGAGGAGGAGGCATCTAAAGCTATGGGGGGGAGAATCACCCTCACACCATAGTGTGGCCTCTTATTCATGACACTGGAGGAATACACTAGAATAAACTCCTGTCTAGTGTATCACATATTAGTTGCAGCTAACACTCTCATTGCAAGGGCCTGGAAACAAGCTCAATCACCGAATAGGGCAAACCTCACCCAACAAATTTCCCTGAACTTAGAATACGAAACAAAGATTAGCAAACAGATTTCCTTCAATAAACATGTCATGGAAGCTCGGAAGAGGTGGGAGACACGACATACCAGGGGGCGTGGGGACAGACAGAAGGTATAATATAGAGGGAAAAAATGCACTCAATATACACTAGGATCAACACCTCAAATGGAATAAATCTCTAGCCTTGGCATCACCCCAAATAGATAGCAGGTAGATCTTGCACATTACCCACATGCACATAGTTATATTGTTCCTCTTTTCTTGTTCTTGTACATCAACTGTCACGCAATACGTTGGATTCCCCAGTGCCTCTTTCACCTTTGTAGACTGAGCACTCAATAGGTCAATTAACGACAGGTCGCACAGGCACTGGAGGGTCGGACTGGGTGAGTGGGACCTCAGTGTGTGAGACTTAAGCAGGTGGCACGCATGGAGTAAACCTGCGAGCTGGCACATGGATACTAAATTGAAGAGGTTGGGTTAGGGATACGCCAAACCCGAATCGTTCCAAGCTCCCAACCACCAAGACTGTGCAATAGCGTGTATAGTAGTATAACGAACCTGACATAATAACAGCCTCCCACCTTGAGTGATAATAAACACTGGGACAAAACCTAATTGAGGAATGAAACCCTGCCTAACAGTGTATTGGGGGGGTTGAGTAGGATGGCCCTATGGAGGTATGCCAAGGTGATGTTTTATATGTTCAACTGGTAACCTGGATATGTTAGAGATAATGATATGCAGTGTCTGCTTTGTGTTACTTCCTCCCACCTAACTACCCCTTTTTCTTTTTTGTACTTAATAAAAAATTGTCAAATTGAGAAAAAAAATACACTCCTCTGAATATGCCTTTTTATGTAGTAGATCGCTTAGCAACAGGAACAATATGTATTTCTCTTCATGTTTGGACTGTATCAAATATTCTGTACTCTGCCCTTGGATTTTTACATCCAAGATGCATTATCTTGCACTTATCCACATTAAATGTCAGTTGCCACAGCTGTGACCATTTTTCTAGTTTACCTAAATCGTTTGCCCTTTGGATTATCCCTCCTGGAACATCAACCCTGTTGAAAATTTTTGTATCATCAGCAAAAAGACATACCTTACCATCAAGACCTTCTGCAATATCACTAACTTCATTTTTTCCCCCCTGCATATATTGTGTTAATATTTAACTGTTTCCCTTGATTTTTTTGGCTGTCTTTTACATTTTGTTCCTATATCCATGTCAGGCTATCATGATTGGGGATGATCTAATTAATGACATTGGAGGAGCCCAATCCTGTGGGATCAAAGCTGTTCTCGTCAGAACTGGGAAGTACAGGTCAGAGATCCCTATGTTTAGTTGTATCATTTAGAGGTGTCTCTGAATTGCAACACTTAAAAACGTCTTTCTTCTCGATTCTAGACCTACCGATGAACACCATCCTGATGTGACAGCTGATGGATATGTGGACAATTTAGCTCTAGCAGTGGACATTCTCCTTTCTTCCAAAGGATCTCAATAGTGACAATGATCAATTTGTATTTTTAGAGTACAAGCCCATTGGTTTATTCTAAGGACAATAAGAGTCTAAAGAAGTCTTTATGATTCATTTCAGGATTATGTTTGAAGGTTGATGAATTAATTGTGGACTGTCAAAGTGAACCTTTTGATTTGACAGCAATTGGCATTCTAAACAGCATTTAAGAAACTTAATACAGCTTGAGATTTCTCCCCCAAACATATACTATAGTTAAGATGGAGAATTTTTCCAAATTTGCTATTTTGGTCTAAATTTAGCAATTCACATATTAGTAAATAAACCTTTATGATATCTCAGGAGAGTTGTAGGGCAAAATCGAAACTAATCATATTGTATTAGTAAAATACTACTGATTGCAGATGGCAGTGAATCCAGGAATCTGTTGTAGACTATCTTTAATATATTCCATTATGATCTTCTGTGATTAGACTTTAAGAGAAATATAGATAAATTAAGTAAATGTTATTTACAAATAATCGTTGTCAATATGACTGCAGCAATAGGAAGACTTTAAATATGCTGTAGCCTATTGGAAAGTAATCAGAAATTATCCTTATTTTTTTTAAAGTAATTTGTGATGCTCACATATTTTTCTTATAAAATAAAAAGTAGAATAAAGCTTAATGTTTACCTAACATATGAAGTGGTATATTTAGACTTTTTTTCCCCCTCTTATTCTATGTGTACTAACTAGCTCATCCTTACTGTATGCTTTCCAACATACTAGTATTCCAGGAGTAAAATAGGTCCCTTGTAAATATGTATGTATGTATGTATGTATGTATGTATGTATGTATGTATGTATGTATGTATGTATGTATGTATGTATGTTATGTGTATGTGTGACTACATATGCAATGTGTGTATGCCACGGCATGTGTAATATAACAAGTGTGTATCGGATTGCACGAGTAGTGTGTGACTACATATATAAATGTATGTGTCATGCTCCGAGCAGGTCAGAGAGGAGACGTTTGCAAGGGTTATTGGTTAAAACTTTATTTGTCGTATTAGACATAACAAATTTACTGGAATAAAGGGCAGTCTACCACAAACAGGATACTTTGTGAGAAAAAACAGGGTTTAGGCGATATGCCACAAACAAGATCTTTAGAAAGTAAATGAATAAAGTATTTTGTATACAAGCAAGCTTAAAGTTATACCAAGTAGTTAAGAATTTCCAGGATACTTTGCAATGCAGCTAGTTATAAGTAAATACCTTTTAGGATAAGACAATACAGGATCATGAGTTGTAGAGGTTGAAGCAGGTGGGTATATTCCAAAATAATATAATGCAGGTTGCTTACGAGATCATGTAGTGATGCAGCAATTGAAGCAGTTAAGATTCTTCAATGAAGGAAATACGCCACAAATCAGGATTCTTGGAAGCTGATAAGGAAAGTCTTTCGGTAAGATGTAATTCAGGCAAGTTCAGGATGAAGTAATGCAGGTTAGTGCCTTTCAGTATGAGGAAATGCAGATGAGTACAGGATGAGGCACTGCAGGTAAGTTCTCTACAGAATGAAATAATGTAGATAAAATACAGGATAGTACCAGGAACAGAGATTCTTTATCAGAGCATAGACTTCAATGTCAAGGCACTGTTGTGTGCCAGGAGTAGACTTATCAAGCCTCCTAATTAGTTAATGAAGGTGAGGTTATTAAGGTGAGTGAATAGATTAGTGGCTAGGGAGGCCACTAGAGGAGAAAATCATGAAGTTCACTTAAAGGGCCAGTAATAAATGAAAAAGTCTAACATGTCAGTTTTGAAACCTGACAGTATGTATTTATTGGACTGCTCATCTGGTGTGTGGATGTGTGTACAACTGTTTATACAATGTGTGCAACAGGCATGTGTTTATTGAACTGTCTAGTGTATTGCTATGTGTGCATCTGTAAAGTGTGTCTAGGAGTGTTCTAAAGCATAATTTATCTTCAACTGTGTTATTTTATGGCCTAGGATATAGCATACCATTGTTTATTTAAAGGGACACTTCACACCTCTAATGCACTATAATTTGCTGGATTGCTTGTCTGTAGTGTGTATCCTCTTGTGACAAAACTTCCGTACTCCGACCGAGTACCTCCCCCCAGTCTGCTTCCTAGCCTGGAACGCTTCAGCCCCGGTCGCCAAAACTTGATTGAAGTCTCTCTGGAACTCTTCCACCCGACCAGGCTGCAGCTCCCTTCTTCCAGGCAGGTATCGTCCTCTCTGCCTGTTCCTCTTCAGCTTCTTGCGAGGCAGGTATCCACAACTCTGCCTGTATTGTGATTAGCTACTGCCTTTACAAAGACACTTGTGGCTCTCATGCCTAGCTCTCTTTAATTTGTCCCAGGCTACAGGGACTATGCTAGGTACGACAACTCTGTTACTGGGATCCCTGAACAAATCCATACAAGACACAAAGTTCCAAAAGGAACTAAGACACTGAGCTTTATTTTTACTCAGGATTAGCCCATATGCACATAACATTAACCCCTTAAGGACCAAACTTCTGGAATAAAAGGGAATCATGACATGTCACACATGTCATGTGTCCTTAAGGGGTTAAACTTGTTAAGACAGACTCAATATAATACAAATAAGCAAATTGTATAAAAAACACACACAAACTTATAATAACATCATATTTATAAAGGGGTGGGGGAGACAATACCTAACAAGAAATATCTCTCCTCCTTGCAAAAATCACTATGCAAATATACCTGAATATGTAAATTAACAAGTCTTGCTATTCAAGTAGTGCATGTAGTTATTTCAGGATCTTACAACCAACAGCCAAATCTATCCAGGCTCCACAGCCAAATCTATCTGGTTGGTTGAAAGCGTCAGCAGGAGAGGAGAGCACACAAAACATTTAACAACAAAAAATTACATTATACACACCCTGCACCTATAATGGGCACAGGGTGACTTAAACATAAGAACAAAGTCAAGTAAAGTGTCCGTCTTCTGCTCCCAGTGGTAGTGAGTACCGTCATACGTCTGTTTTCCATTTCTGTTGAGGTTGTAAGACATTTTCTTTTCTTTTTTTCAACAGTAGACGTACTCATATTTTGCTCTGTTCACAAATTGTAAAACAATTACAATATAATAAAAAATATGGAAGCCATATAACCTAATTTTAGCCAATGGAAATCTCCATACTATGATAAATTATATATTTCTCCAAAACATTTTAAATGTATTTTAAACCACCTAGTGGTGGTCCCTACTTTGTCTCAGTATATCTTTTGACTTAGTTGGAATTTCAGTGAAATTCCAACACTGTTAATACGAGTATTTCTCAATTTGCATTAGAGAGGTGTGACAGTGCTGCTGGGAGGCAAAACATGCATCATGCAGCCCAGGCGAACTTCTAACCCCCTACCACCTTGGACCGACGGGGGTTATATTGGTCCCCTTTGGCAAGCTTCAGACTCCCAACACTGCATATACCCACAGATTTCAGCCATCACCAGACAAGGCGGCACACCTCAAGATGGCGGATGCACTCCGTCCAACCATGCCTGAGCTGAGCTTGTACCACACAGCTTACCGCAGAGCCACGGATTATTACCAGCAGTGGCAGGAGAAAAGATTTCAACGCTTCTGGGCTAAGTTACAAATGCAAAAAGAACCTTCCTGGAACATGCTTCAGGAAGGAGCCGAGAGAAGCAAGAAATGAAGGGCAGGAAAGTCCACTTCAAGCAGATACCGAATTAAGCCAAGACAAGCCTTCCTTGCAACGCTCAGGGGAGCATGAAGTACCCACCGAATACAGCCATTCTTACCCAGATCCCCTTACTTTTCCCAGAAGGGAAAAGACTGCGACAGCAACAGCCTCCGAGTCCGAGAGCAGTGAAGTTGGCTCTTGTGCGGACTTGGGCCTGGAGGAGTGCACATCCTTGTAACCAATGCGACCCTGTCTTGCTTGTGGCGACTCACCCTTGAGTCCATGGAATGCATATGATGCTGGCCCAACCTAGGTCTTGGGTCTGGAGGAAAGCAGTGGCGTACTAAGGGGGGGGCGGGGGGGGCGGTCCGCCCCGGGTGCCAGCCGGGTGGGGGGTGCCATGGCCAGCCCTGTATAGAGCCTCAGGCGGCTGCAGCTTTGCCCAGGCGGTGCGTCCATGAGGGCGGACCGCACCGCCCGGGCGCAACCTGAGGAGAGGCTGACAGGAGGGAGCGCTCCTGTCAGCTCCCTCACTGCAGCATGGTCCGACGGGTACAGAGAGCAGCTGTCTCCTGTACCCGGCCGGACTAACAGGAAGTGCACACTGAGTGTGCACTTCCTGTTAGTCCGCCGGGTACAGGAAACAAAAGCTCCCTGTACCCGCGGACTATACAGGGCTCGGCCACGCTACAGGGAGGTAGGGGTGAGAAAGAAATAAGGGGGGGTGAGAAAGAGAAATAAGGGGGGGTGAGAAAGAGAAATAAGGGGGGGTGAGAAAGAGAAAAGGGGGGTGGGTGAGAAAGAGAAATTGGGAGGAGGAGAAGGAAATTGGAGCGGGAGGAGAGATTGACATTCATCACATACACACAATGCACCCCTTGCACACAGAAAAACACACAGACACACATACACAAGCAATGCAACCGTTACACACAATGCATCCCTTACACACACAGAAACACACAATGCATTCATTACACACACTCAATGCACCCCCTACACACATTCAATGCATCCCATACATACACAGAAACACACCTTGCAGCCCTTACACATACAAACACAATTTCACACAATGCATTCCTTACACACATATCAGGACATCCCCTACACACTCCACCCCCTGTGAACAAACTCATTGGTGGAACATGAAGGTGGACCCTGGGACCCAGACCTTGATCTGTGTAAAGGACCCCCAAAAAATGGAGCTGCTTCCCGTTCTCCCAGAACATTGATTTTTGTGACCACAGTTACAAACCGCCTCCAGAGAGCCTGTTCTGCACCAGACCAGTGGAGCCAGACTGCAGCTAGAGCCCATCATCATCC